TTAACGGATAATTGTCCAGCCCTACACAGTAAAGAGATTTTGTCTAATTAGTTCATGATATATATGTCCCAAGGAGTGGATTGGATTTTATGTTCTAGGTTATGATTTTGAGTTATTATTATAGGTTTGTATATTATACGAATTGAGAACATTTATTATGATTTTCTGTTAAATTTGTGGATAGTTTGAACAGTTTAGTAAGATGCTCGAGTTTTTAAATAAGTATCAATTTTGTCTATAAAAGTAATTCTAGTAAAGTCATGATTTATTGGATATGATTAATTAGTTCAATTCTCCTCAATTTGTCAAAAAAAGAAGGGTGTGTTCTAGGAAAATAATTTGTTAACCATTGTTGATATTGTATAATACAATAAAGAAATAGTTAATTATTGTGTGTGATGTTAAACTCCACCAACAAATAAATTAATAGTCAAATATCATCAACCAACTCCAATACAATATAAACATATATATAGATATAGTTTCTTTTAAAAACGTAATTGTAGAAGAAATTTTTTTTTTGTCGTATGTGTTGTATTGTGATTTTGAATAAAAATATAACAACTTGGGTGGGTTCTAGTCGTTACAGCATTATCTGTATGTTTATCGATACAACCACACGATTATATAGACTAAAGCATAATTAAAGACAACAATTATAATTTTTACTTTTTATCTATTATCTAGACGAAGTTTCTGATTGAAGATAAAGATTCCATGACAACGAACACGTTATCTAGATTCTCATAGATTTTCTAAACAAAACTAACGTCTAAAAAACTCATCTAATATGATCTATTTGTATACGAAAATCTTAAACTCTTTGTCCAATGTACAAAAGCTTTAATATATCATGGTTTGGAAATACGTATGAGAGTATGAGACTCTCATCCAAACTGATTTTCATTTATTTAAAAACGAAAATACGTATTATCAATTTAACATGTATTTACGAATAATAATAATGACAAATTAAATACAAATATTGCTGAAGGATAACTAAAGTCTACAAGTGTTCTAAAAGAAGAGCGAGAGGGACAAGCTAACGAATTCTTCTTTTGTGCGTGTGTTTTAAGTGCCCAAATTTTTTGGTTTTCGCCGACACTTTCAAATGCCCATATTAGAAACTATAAAGCTATGGCATTAATATTCTCTAATCATAAAATATTTAGATTCTCTATTGGTTTGATTATATAGTTATTTTCTTACGAAGTGAATGATGTGGCTTGATTCATTGTTTGTCCATAAACGATATGCATTATAACAGACAGTTAAACACGGCTGGAAGTAAACTAGATTAATACGTTTTCATTCATAACAATTAGGCTTTTGAAACCGAATGTCATATTAATGATAATTATTATGCATATAATTGTCGATTCAAAATAAAAGGTTTCGACAGTGTAGTGCGAAACAAAATATATGTGAAACGGATTGAATAATAACAAATTCATACATTTAATCAATTACGATATGAAAGTCGATATGAGGTAAGCCTTTAGGAATCTCTTAAACTTTCAACTTTATGATATTTTTTATAAAGAAAATATATATTTTTATCGATGGATCAGAAAAACGAATTGGATTATTCTTAAAAAAACACAAGGGATTGTGTTTGACCCTCGAGTGCAAAAACTATCAAACCAAGAAAAAAATATTGACGAGCCATATGCATATGAACGGAAAACAAACGGCCGGGAACGATCCGAGTTATGAAAATCTCTTATAATTTGAGAATTAATAAGAAAAAAAGAAAAGAATTGAACTCTTTTTAGAGATTCCATTAATAAAACATAAAGTAATGAACTACATTGACGGTCGACAGCACATATTTATTTACTTATATATCATTCTTTAAGAAACCACCTTTTAGCCATTTAAAGACAAGTTTGCTTCCTTCAACAAAACGCTTCTCAAGATTCTCGTGCTTTGTGTTTCAAATAGAGTTATTATTTAGAAACGGCTATATCCTCTTCGACAGTCATTGTTAGTTACTAGGGGTTCAAATGGTTAGCAAGTTAAAAGAACAAAATTGAGAGCAATTGACTTTTTCATTCATTTATTCTAAAAATCTATTATTTAGGATGCAAATGTTTTTCTCCAAATTTTATTGGATCTCACCAAAAATAGAGGAAAATAAATCTTATTCTTCTAGAATTATTACTCTCTAAAACATGAAAGGAATACGGTGGTGGAAAAAAAGTTTATTCCGCTCTATTTTCTTCATTTATTTTGTTTCCTCTAATTCCTCCCACTCACTAGCATTTGCACCCATATGTACATCTTATTTGATTATTATTTCCTTTTTCATTGATCTTACCAAATGTCGTATAGTAATGTGACCAGAAAAAAACAAAAACAAATGTCGTACAATCGGATGAGAAAACACGGCAGGACAATATTATTGATATGTATACACGAATAATAATCAAATAAGAACATAAAATTGAGATGAATAATCAAATGTTGACAACCAACAGAAATAGAAGAATAATCAAATGATAACTAAAGTGAGTAGTGAGTAGTGCGTAGACTTGGGGTTTACTCCACGAGAAGATAATACATAAACTCTTGAATTGACTATACTATCCTTCCGTAGCAATTAGATGCCAAAAGCAGAGTTAAATGGACAAGAAGCATCAACTAGGGGCAATATCGGTATTTCATGAGACGACGGGTCAACTACCACCAATCCATATAACCGATTACACAGTAACAGCAAACGTAGAAACAATTTAATT